AGGAGGGTTGGGGATCGAGACCCCCAGGAATCCTGGGCCCAGCCTTGTCGGGGTTTACGAGGACTCTGCCATACAGGAGAGGTGAAGGGGAGTCCTCAAGGGCAGGGAGGCCTCTGGGTAAAGGAAGTGGGAGTGTGGACTCAGATCCTTTCGCTAGCCCACTTCACCGGGGTAGTGCAGAAGCCAGGAAAGTTCCCCACAATAGCGGGACCATTCCCCCGCTTACACTAGGGTGACCAGACGTCCCGATTTTATCGGGACTGTCCCAATATTTCCTGTGCGGTCGGGACACTGGACAAACAAGGAAATGCTCCGAAACCCGGAAGTGCTCGCGCCCCCCGCCCCGACTCCGCCCCCTCCTCGCCCCATTGGCTCCCTCCCCGAATCCCCGCCTCTTCCCCAGGCTCACCATTCCTCCTCCCTCCACAAGCGCTAGAGGGAGGCCCGGGAGATGCAGGAGAAGCGCGGGGCCGGGGTGAGTGAGAGTCCGGTCTGGCCCCGAGCAGGCAGGACTCAGTCGGGCGGTAGGGAGAGTAGGGGGGCGGCCCGCGGGGCCAGGCGGCGGCTGTTCTCTCCCCCTGGGTGGCGGGACGCGGTAGCCCAGCCCCGTTCGTTCCCCTGCGGGACCCGAGCGGGACGGGGGGGCTGGGGCCTGCTGCCCCCACTCCGGGGCCAACGCGGGATAGCACCAGCTGGGCAGCAGCCCAGACGCGACTGGCCAGGGGCTGGGCGCAGCGTGCGCGCTGCTAGGTCCCTGCAGCAGGCCCGGGCTCAGGAGGTTCGGGGGCGCCAGAGCCGCAGCCGCCGAGCTTGGCCATCGGCCGCTTCCTCCCCCCGCAGCAGTGGGAGCTGCAGCAGCGGCTGCTCCCGAGTCCCGCTGCCCAGGGGGGGAGAACAGCCGCCGCCTGGTCCCGCGGGCCGCCCCCCTACTCTCCCTACCACCTGACTGAGTCCTGCCTGCTCGGGGCCAGACCGGACTCTCACTCACCCTGGCCCCGCGCTTCTCCTGCATCTCCCGGGCCTCCCTCCAGCGCTTGTGGAGGAAGGGTGGGGTTTTTTTTTTTTGCCACCCCGGGTCCCGATATTTGACTTGGGTGATCTGGTCACCCTAATGTTTTCTCACAGTTACTTTTGGGAGTGAGGAAAGAAACACTGGCTAGAGACCTTAAAAAAGGTTTTTCCCATTTACTGCAGATGTTGCTCTATAGTAAATCTAACTAATAACCCGTTGTATATTTATAGCATTTTTTATCTGAAGATTGTACAGAACATGCCAAGTGTTTACTGTATCTATTTTAGAGGAAGATGAAAAGTGAGACAGAGAGAAACATAGGATGACTTGCCTAAGGTCAGCCAGCTAGTTAGTGGCTGATCTGGGAATATAACATGTGACTGCTTAGCCCTGAGCTCCATCCAGTAGACTATAGTTCCCCCTGCTGCAGTATTTTATCACCTTTATCTCCCTCCTTCAGTGCTGGAATGGCAAAACGGTGACTTAGCCCAACACCAAGGATCTGGCCCAACTTCCAAATGAAACTGGTGGGGGAATTTTAGATAGACAGAATGCCGCATTACGCTGCACTGCTTCACACCCCATGAAAACCCACTGGAGGAATTAGAATTTGCATAAGCACTTGACTCAGCATAATTACAAAAGGTGGTATATGTGCAGGACACCAGTGTGAAAACCACTGATCTTTATTAGATTTGGGTTTGTGATTTTATTTTTAGAGTGAAGGAGCCTTCATTTTCTAGTTAGTACCAATAAAAAAAATGTTACCTTTAAATTAAAATTTAAAAATACTGACTGGACTGAAGTTTTATCTTGGCTAAGAGACTAAGGGTCACTTCCTCAGCTGATGTAGATCAGGATAGCTCCATTTACTTGAGTGGAATTACATCATTTTACACTATCTGAGGATCTACTTTCAACACTGCTCTACCAGATGATCATACTCCATGACATTTTACCCTTCTTTAGCCCACTTCATCCAAGGATCTCAAAGCACTTCAGATCTTTTACTGAAGCTTCACAATACCCTTGCAAAGTATTATCCCATTTTATAGATAGGGAAAATGAGGAATGGGAAGTTCAGGGACTCATTCAAGGTTGTGAAGGATCTGATCCTACAAGTTCTAGGGACCCTCCGCTGTCATTATAGTCAATGCTAGCACTCAAGAGCACTTGGCAGGTTCCAGCCCTGATTCAGTAATAGAGCCCAAAATGCAATGAAAGAGTTATGCCTTCTAGCCTCTGGCCAAAATACTTGACAACATTGCTTTCCATGCCATCATCCATTTAAGCAAATGATGAACAAGTTGTTGCTCCTATGGCCAGAGTCATTAGCCAAATTTCAGGGCTTTGCATTATTGTTTCCATTTAAATGAGAAATCAGTAACATGACTCAGGTACATGCTTTGGTGTACTCTCATTTATACACGAAAAATGTGCACAAAGTCCTGGATCCCAGAACACAATGGAAACAAACAGCAAGGAATTTCCTTGCTTCAAAATTGCAAAGTGTGACTCCACAGTGGGCTCTGTACCAAAGTAGCTCTCTCTCTGCTTCGTTTCAGAGTCACACTCAAAACTCCTTTAGGCCTTTTACCATAACATGTTGATGTTTAGCTTCCACCATTCCAAGATAATGCCATTGAACTCTTCACTCTGATGAGGTGTGTTGTGGGAGCCAGCTGGACCTGGACACAATATTCACAACGTGACCCAGTAACAGAGTACTCGTTTGGTTCCCAAAGTTTGTTACAAAATTTGGAACTCAGACAAAGTTTGCTAAAAGATTCACAAAACATCTGAGCACACCAGGCCCGATTTTAGCTTCTGCATTACAATCACATGAAATAGAGTGGGGGTTTTCATATGAAACTAGATGAAACTTGAGGATTTTGATTGAGTTTCACTTTGACAATATGAGCTTGTTCACACAAGTGACAAGGTACCAAAACAATATCTGCATGAACCCCGGCAAATTATTGTTTATATTATCATAGCACCTAGGAGTCTCAATCATGGATCAGGACTCTATTGTGCTAGGCGTGGTACAAACACAGAACAAAAAGACAATCACAAAATTGCTGTGCTTTGCACAGCTCTAAATATAACTTCATTATCTTTGTTGGGTGGAGAAGCAGGAAGAAACTTATTCTCATGATAAGTTTTGTGAGCTTTCAGTGCATAAAGTCACACTCCCATTGACTTCACTGGGCTTTGCATCAAGACCTAGATGACTTGCACAAATACATGTTTGCATCTGCACATGTATATTCATGTGAATGAGCTTCCCTCAAACACTGGGGGGAAAACCTTGCCCATCAGATTGTTTGCAAATAGCAAATAAGTGGGGGTGACTGACCTCAAATAACTTTATTCCTATGAATGTTCACAGATGCTTTCTTGCAGAGTTAAACCAGCTCTACAAATCAGGAAATAAACCATTGAGTTGAATGTTTGCTCCTTTTACCTTTCCATACACTGTAAACTACAAAAAATACCACTATTACATTAACTAACTCTTAGAGACAGCCCATGTCAAATACACCTCTACCTCGATATAACGCTGTCCTCGGGAGCCAAAAAATCTTACCGCGTTATAGGTGAAACCGCATTACATCGAACTTGCTTTGATCCGCTGGAGTGCGCAGGCCCACCCCCCCGGAGTGCTGCTTTACCGCGTTATATCCGAATTCATGTTATATCGGGCCGTGTTATATTGGGGTAGAGGTGTATGTGTATCTACAGGCCCATCTTTCATCTGCATCACTGCTCATAAAAAATGGAAATGTATAATATTTACAAGCTATCTACTTCTTTCTTTTTGTTTGAAGCACCAAGCCATTGAAAATAGCAGCTAGCTGCTGTGTTCTAAAATATTTAAGTAAAAACTTATGTATAGTGAGAAGGATTTGGAATCACAACCTGGAGAGAGACAAGAGCTGTCCATAATTGTATTTCTTCATTTCTTGCATGTAACAGATGATTAGTTGAGGTATGATTCTCCATATGCACATTTAACTTATTTATGCCTTGATAGGCAGGGAGTGAGGGAGGCTCACCTGTCAAAGAGCTCTCAAGGAAAGTGAGGGATTCTCTAAAAACACAACCCCATAATAAGAAATGACAATTGGGGTCAGACAAAGGTCAGGCCCAGCACACCTACTATAATGCTCTAATTCCTAACATTCAGAGGAAAAGAGTATTGTGACTTGGATCTAAAATACATTCAAGCTCATAAATAGAAGTCTTTGTGTCAGCTATGCTTTATACTAATGGCCAGAATGCTTGGTTACCATCTATATAGTTACAGCAAGTATAAACTATGTTTGTAATGCAGGATGAAAATGAGATTAGCATGTGTGCACGTGTAATCCACACACTTTCGGGCTGTGGTGTTCTGTCCCAGCTAGTGACACCAAGACCACTTAGAGAGAGAGAGAGAGAGATTAATGAGTTTGCTCTACTTAGCCTTAGCTCTACTTAGCCTTAGCTAACAGCCAGTTGGCTTTTAGCTCATGCTGTAGAGGCTCGTGTACTAAACTCCAGAGGTCCCAGGTTCAATCCCGCCTGCCAACGACCGGGGTCTGTCAACATTACGCGCACACACACACACACACCTTTCCCAAATGTTGTTCCAGACATTCATTTGTGCAGTTCAGGCTCTGATAATGCTAAGAAATAGGAGGACAACTGGTAAGTGTCACAAATTGGACTACAAAACAGAGAAAAAGAAAATGGGGAAGAATAGTCTCTCTATGATAAAAATAATGGATAGACACTACTTGTCAGACAGCAACCCATTTTATACCAACTTTTGTGAGGAAGGTGAACAAGATTACTCCCGACTAGAGACGCGATTGAAAGTGCCTATTGTGTTCTTTGCAAAAAAACCAAAGATAAACAAAAAACTAAAAACTAGATCCCACCGCTTCAACCCTGAACGTCCTTCAGGCTCAATTATATGAAAAAATAAAGATAACTGAATTACCATGAAACCAGGGCGCTACAGCATGGGTGTTCCTCTCAAACCCAGCACGTCGTGGAAGCTGCTCTTCCTTGAACCAGCGAATGAGGATTTCTCTGGAAATGGGTCTAGAAGGACGCTCCCAAGCTTTCCTACATTTAAAATACAAACAATGGGAGATAGACGTCATGCAGCTGTAGTACAAAAAAATAACCTGCACCATGTTCATAGAGTAAGGGCAACGGGGCTAATCACTACAGTTCACTGGGAATTTTTTCCCTCCCACAGCAAAAAAAAAAAATTTAAACAAAAACAACTGTTTTCCCCCACTTATTTTTTTATTTTATTTCATTGAATAACCAGATTTCTTTTGGGTAGGGAAGGTGTGGATTTGTTTTCCCATAAAAATCCAAACATTTTTGACAAAAGAAATTCCATCACTAAAACGTCAATTTTGTCAATAGCCATTTTCTGACAATAAGCTTCAATGGAAAATGTTCAACCTGCTGTATTATTCACTCTGATTTCTTTTAATTTTTCATAGACAAAAGATTATTATTTGCAGGCAAAAAACTACTTTTTACCTTTTGTGTGAATCCCCTGCATGTTAAGCCAGATTCAGCCATTGTGGCTGGCATGCCTTGACCACAGGAAAACATGAAGAGAAAACATTTCTCTGGAATGTTTCTCTGAGGTGCTTTTCCTTCCCCCTACTTCTACTATTGCTCCACAGGTCCTATGTCCCTACTTATACATCTTGTAAGTCCTCAGTTTCTGTTTGGCTCACTGCATTTTTCTAGCTCTCGCATCTTGTGCTCTGCCTACAACGGAGCTATCATTTAATGATCCATATTTGCAGGCAACCTGAGTAAGTGCTGAAACTAGTATTGTTTTGAATTACAACTCCTTCACCTGGGCAGTCACAGAGAAACACTACTATAACCTACCAGACAACCAAGAACCAACAAAGCAAACTAGATCCTATAGTACTCGATAATGATGAGCTTGCCCTCTAGTGATTGGAGGCCATGCAAGAGAATACTGGGTGCTCTTGATATCTGATGGATATCCTCCTCAGGGTCTGGGTCCTGCGTCCACTGAAGTCAATGGCAGTTTGGCTGCTGATTTCAACAGAAGCAGAATTAGGCCTTTAGCGTAAATGGCAGAACACCTAGGGTTGACCCCAAGGAGTCTCAGTTCAAGTGGCAAGACAGAGACCTAAGTCAGAATATCAGTCGGATATGCCCTAAGGCTTGGTCTACGCTACAAGGTTTTACCAGTAAAACTTGCCTTCTGTTGGCACATCCTTCCGCGCATCCATTCTCAGTTTTGAGTCCTGCCAACAAAACCCATTCAAGCTAAACCACCTCCCCAAATGGCATAAATCCTGTACCAGCACCGTTCCACCAGTACAATACCTGTGTGGATGCTGCATAACTTGTACCTCCAGCAAAAGAACCACAAGGCCCCTGGTCCCACAGCAGTGACTGCTTTTGTCAAATTTTTGAACTCTGCTGCTTAGGGGAAGCTTCCCCACCCCTTAAAATACCCAATATGTTTGCAAATTCCTCTCATCCTGCTAGCCCACCTTTGGTATACTAGAATATAGGTATTATTCCAGGTAAAGCTATAGCTAAAAAAAGCTCAGGTAAACCTCATGATGCTGCCTGGTCCAGGAAAGAATTCTTGGATTTCATCAGCCTGTGAGAGTAGAGGGGTAGTGCAAGCCCAGATGTGGAACTGCTGCAGAAATAAAGATGTTCATCTGGATATTGCAAAGGCCAGAGGTACAACAGGGACAATTAGCACTGTCTGGCAAAGAGAGATGAACTGCATCAGTCCTAACAAAAGATAGGAGGGGACAAAAAAAATCTTGTGCTGTCCTCAAGAACTGCCACTAATATGTACAGCTAGACACCGTACTGAGTGGTGACCCCATCACCACCACACAAATGACAGTGGACACCTCACAACATCTGGAGAAAGGCACCACAGAACTGCAACATGACAGTTAGCTTGTTTAGGAGGGGGATGCGATGTTGCAGAGCCCACAGAGAGTCAAGAGCTCTTCCACACCCAACTGAGCCTGACCCACCTGAATCAAAAGATGGAACCCAGTGAAGAAGGGGAAGAGAAGGGGAAGGGTCCCTTCTGACCTTAAAGTCTATGATTCTATGAAAGGGAACTCCAGTAGATGAAATATACTGCTGCCCATTTATGCATGCTTTCTTCTCAGGGCCCCAAAACCTTCTGGATCCCTCTTCCCCGCTCTGAGAGTAGCCTCTGAACATCTTTTATAACATCTGGTTTGTTTTAAGAGCATGCAACTTGTACAAATAGATACATCTTTGCTAAAAGAACACAATAAGCAACCAATTTTTTCCCCAAATACCTATTTTTGTAGGCAGAAAAAAAAGTAAAATAAAAACAGTGCAAACACAGAAATATACGCAAACCAATACCAGAGTGTTCAAATTAAGTACATGGAAAAGCTGCTCTGACATTATGATAACAGAGAGAGTGCATGCTATCCACACAGGGAAGAAAGCAAACTACACATGGAGGCACAGTTAATTCCCCCAGATATTGCTGCTTTTAAAGATTTTATATGGGTGGCCTAGACAGCTTACCCACTCCTGGATCCTAAAGTCCAGAGCTCACTTCTCTCTGATTCTGTTTAAGAGTGGAAGATAAACAGGACTCCAAACAGCCTTGTGGGAACTGTTTAAGCATGAATTAAAAGTGCTGGTTTTATAGCAATTTTCTGCCTAGGGCCAAATCATGAAATTGCTCCCAGTTGATTTCTACACAACTACAGTAGACAAAGTGAGCATGGTAGGGGCAGGAGGAAAAAAATTAAAGACAACCACACAGATAGAGACAAACGATGATGAGTAAAAGGAACAAAACGCTTCAACACACAGAGAAAATCAGCAGGGAAAAATAGACAGGAAAGAAGGACGAAGGGAGGAAATAAAAACCCAGACAAGCTTTCCAAAGAACATAGAAGGTGAAAGAAATAGGAATCTCACACAGAAATAACATCATTTTACTGTGACTTTAGACAGCCCTGAACTGAAGAGGCAGTGCACAAATTTACACCAGCCCAGGATTACCCTCAGGAAGCACTGTGACTCACACTCACCCCTCTAGAGATACTGTGCTAACCCCCTTTCCCTTGCTCAAGGGAGCAGTAATCTGCTGATGTCCACACCAGTAGCAGATTACAACGCACCCCATACCTGCTTAGCTGCACTGGCCACCTCACTGGAGGAACAATACTTTGACTCTGCCCCTTCTCCCTCTGTTCACCCACCTGCCCTCTCCCCCCTCCCCCCATATGAGGAGTACACACATACGAAGTAGCTGTTATTCCTATGCATGCAGATCCAAGATCTGGGTAGACTGTACAAGGGTTTAAGGAGAGTTCTTACTCCCCTGATTCCCTTCAGCAGGTATGTAGTTTGAGTCACAATCTAGTCATACACAATGACAAAAAGATGCTTTAAGAGATAAGAAAAACAAACAATACCACATTTTAAACATAGATGTGACTTGGAGATGGATAAACAGCTTTGGACAAGGGCTGGATAAGGATCCAAACTTTTTTCAGGTCTTCTCAGCCCTACTTGTGAGTAATTCACACCAAACAACACCCAATTCTATAATAAATAACTCCATTTAGAAAGCAGAGAACTTCAGGCTGAATTATAGCCCCTAGTTTTCGAAATTTACTATCTTTATTAGTGTGTTTATTTCAGAGAAGATTCTTTGATGTAAGTGGTTTGGGAAAATAAAAATAATGAGAAGATTGTTTTGACAAGTGGCTTGATGGCGAGTGTAGAGATCCCACCGCATTTCAGACAGAGCAATTTTGATTCCTCAAACTGGGAATTTAAACAACCCATCTGCAGTGAGTTTCCGTATCTCACATAACAAGACAAAGAGATTGCTTGTCAAAACAGAACACAAACCCCAAGCAGGAGGGGACTGAAGTCCTTTTGGTGCTGCCGGGCTGCCAGACATCACAAGCACATTGACTAGTAATCGCAAAACTTGGCAATAAAAGGGAAAATAAGAGTTGAATTACTCTTTCTTCCCTGAATGTGCATTTTTTTTAACTTTACCACCTTGCCCAGTTCATGTTATCTTGTTCATCTTACTAAGCCTAATTAATAATGTCAGATGGCAACATATATACCCACAAGGAGCGACTGATAAATTTCACAGCAGATGGGGTGCTGTGTTGGATTGTTTTTCACTTCTGGAATCCACGTGGTTTACGAAAGAGACAGATGAAGGATCAATAGGTTTAAAGAAAAAAAAAAAAACCTCAGAAGACCCTTGATTTTGCCATCAGAAAACTCAACTGAAACTTAAAAGGTTGTCCCCTCTATAAAATGTGTCAAAGAGCACTTGAGCAGCAGTTATTTCTAGGCTGCAGGGCTAAGGTTTGCTTGAGAATTTGTTTGATTCTCTCTCTATCACAGCCTTGCATTCTTATCAAATCATTGACTTTTTTAAAGACCCATCTTTTTGTAGATGCTAAAAGAGCCTTTTAAAAGCAAACACCATTTAATTGACATTATGCACTCAGTGCATTTTGATCTTTTTAAAACATCCCCTTTCTATTCAGGGTCAAGAGCAACACTGTGGAGAATCTCAAATAAAACAAAATTAAATTAAAAATTAAAAATAAAATAAAAGAAGCACTTGTTAAAATGGGGGTGAAAGCCCATGAATGGAGGATCAATTTTTTTGAGTCCCCTACAATACGAACGAACCTGGCTGGTGTAGTGAGCGTCATTAGTGGGCTAGGACTGTTGCTGTTCAGCTTTATCTCTGGCTCATTATTCAGGCTGGTCCCCTTGAACAGGTTACTCAAGCCAGCCACTTTTCCTTTCTGGATGGCTCGTAAGGATTGCCGTCGATATTCATCCCGGGCCCTGCGTGCTTTGTGGCTCCTTTCCTCATCTGCAGCCTTTGAGCGGCGCACTGGGTGGGGAAGAAAGTCATTTGTGTTTTAGAAATATATTCATGGCTCTTTACCCTTTTCTTTATAGAACAATTATCTACATTCATTCCTCTCTATTACCTGATTTTAAAAATATTCAGATTCCAACACACAAAATACCACCAAAGGATTGAATAATGGTTTGGCTAATGTCCTTTGCAGTTGTGTAAAATAAAGGAAATCTAAACTCTTATTCCAGGTCATAAATTCACCATGGCCAGGGCTGGGCAGGAATTAATGCTCTAAATTCCAACACTGCATAGTATATTAGGCATGTGTCATGGAGTCACTGGGCCAATGCTCTGGAACTACTCCATACAAAGCCAGTCAGGACTCTGGTGTAGCATGCCTCCTCTCTCTGAGCATACTGTCTCCAGAGCAATAACCTTACACAGCTTTGACCTCCCTGGGTCTGACCTTGGAGCATTCAGCATCCCCTTCCACACCGTGTGCTTCCCGCAGTGAGTCCGCCCGGGTGGGGCTCCTGGAGAAGCCAGAGGGCCCTGCACCCCAACTCCTCAGTCAGCAGTGACTCTCAGTCAGTGTGTAGAAGAGAAAGGTTTATTAGTTGACAGGAACACAGTGTAGAACAGAGCTTGCTATCACAGAAATCAGTGAATTTCATCCAAGTCCATCTTGGGGACTCCTGGGCCAGACGGCCTGGACTCCCCCTCTTCCAGTCCCCCAAAGCAGACTGCCAAGCTACCAGCGATCCGACCTCCGACACCCCACCTGTGGCTCCTCCTCCTTCTCTTTGTCCTGCTTCCCGGGCAAAAGGTGTCACCTGGTCGCACCTCCATCCTGGGTCTCAGGTTACATACATGCAGACAGCTGGGCAGCCTCACCGGCCCCGAGGGCCTCAGCAAAAATCACACACCCAATTCCCACCACCAAAATATTGGTGCAGTACACAGGGAAATGGAGGTACACACAGTATTAGTATAGGACAGTAAGACTCACATGCAACATAACAAGATGAATAAAATCCCACTTCGTCACAGTATGTCATAGGGATGCATGCCTCTGAGGCATCAGGTATGGACCCACAGTTGGGGAAAGCATACCAGGCTTGGACACTGAGACACAAGTGGTCCAATCTCAATGGTCAATCTTTTGAGAATGGGTAGAGTAAAGGTTAATAGCAATAAACCATTACAAGGCATGTATTTGATGCCTGCTTGGGCTGCATTATGAGAAACTCAGTCTTTGGCTTCATGACTTCAGACACCAATGCCCTGTTCAAGCAAAACACTGAAGCACATGCTTAATTTCAGCACATGAGTAGCTGGATTCAATGGGATTATTCACCTGGTTAAACACATGATTAAGTGCTTTGTTGGATCAGAGCTCAACAGCATACCGTTGTGAGACTTAATGCTCTTAGATTACGGCTCCTTAAATTGAAATATTCTTTAGAATAATATAAAAATAGTTTGTGGGATACATGCAGGGTATCTTTCCACTATGAAAAGCAGTTCCTAGGAGAAGGATCACAGAGAATACTAGGCTAAAGTTTATGAACACCCTTTCCCTACTGTTTTGAGTATAAATGTTTTTCTTTTTAAAAAATAAGTTCCCTGGGCTACTTTGATCCCTTCTCCAGCCCCAAGTGCTATGCTGCCCTTTCACCGTCTGTGAGAGTCCCAGCTGCCTGTCACTTTCAATACACTTGGTGATAAAAACTAAATTTGGCATAAAGAACGCTTCCAATTGTGGGGTTTTTGTTTGGCTGTTTTTCCTCTGTCTCACCCCCCCCCCCCGCCCCCACCACCACTTTCTAAAAATAGAAAATGGGTTAAAAGTGACAGAAGGGACAAAGGACACCTTGTGCTTTGGTAAGGCAGTATAAAATTTGAGTCTCAACAACTCGAGAACCAAGCTGTGTAGTAGGGGTATGTCTACACTGCATTGTACAACTGGATCTGTGGAACCTGGGTTTGTGGACTTGGTATTTCCGAGCCCACCTCTGAGCATCCACCCAGCAGGGCCGGCTTTATGAACTGCGGGGCCAAATTCGAATACCCGGCGGCAGTCCGGGGCTTTGGCAGCACTTCGGCGGCAGGGGGTCCGCTCTGGGTCTTCTGCGGCACTGAAGGACACCCCCCCCCCCCGCCGAAATGCCCCTGAAAACCCGGGGGGGGACAACCCCCCCCCCCCCCGCCCCACCGCCGAAATGCCACCAAAGACCCCGAGCGGAGCGCCGCCGGGTGAGTAAAAAAAATTAAAAGATGCCTAAGGTGCAGAAACAGGGCCCTCTTAAGCGCAGGGCCCGATTCCGGGGAATCAGGGGAATCGGCCTAAAGCCGGCCGTGCCACCCAGCATTGTAAAACTTGATTTACAATTACTGGACCCAGGTCTCAGCTATGCTATTGTATCCATACTGCACTATGCACACCTTCTGACCTGGGTCTAGCAGCTTGATCTGCACCCACACTGCAAAATGACTGGGCTTGGACCACAGTTTCAGTGGGACTCAGGTTCTGACCCACCACCCGTGAGCAGGGCCCTAGGACCTGGGTTCTGAGTGCTTGTTGATCTGGGTCACACTGATTTGCACGTGGGCAGACAGGGAGGTTGCTCTCAAACCTGAGTCAGAACCTGGGCTTTGCAGGCAGTGTAGACATACCCTAACCGAGTCCTATCCTCTGTGGATTGTGGCAGAGGGGATACGTAACCAGAGCGGGATGAATAACAGATTTTTTAAGTCAGTGGCAATTTTGAAAAGTCAAAAAAAAAAATCATTTCCAGGTTGAATAAAATGTTTCATTTCAGCAAAATCTAAACGTTTGGCTTCAATTTCTACCATTTTAATAGGTTGTGGATTTTAAAAAAATAAGGACATTTTGAAACAAAAGGTTGTCTCAAATAAAAAATGGTAATGTTTCATTTTGAAAATGTCTAAACATTTAGATTCTTTCTGATTGTCTCCCTCAAAATGAACAACTCAGCACAACCGACAAGTTCAATAAATGATTTAGTGTTGCTGAATCTGCATTTTTTCACTGAAAAAAAGTGGGCTGCACTAGCATATAAAATATGCATATCCATAATCTGGAATGATGAGGCTGCTATCCTTGACTGAGGCCATCAGAGGCAAGACATCCATGACTGAGGCCTCCTGAGCACTCTTCATTTCGAACTTGTGTGTTCAAAAGGTCAGAGTTAAGAATTTCACAGCTGTTTCATCACTGTTTTACAACTGGGATAGTCCCATAAAGCAGAAGCTATTACCACCATCACTAGTGTGAGGTTAAATCAGTTACCTGCCCAAAATGAGAATGTTTCCTAAAATTATGAGAGCCTAGAAACAAAAGGGTATAATGAAAATGGTTTTGTTACCTCAACAATAGAGGATATTAACTGTGTCCACTATAAGTCTAAATATTTTTATTCTTATCACACCTTTCTCTCATAGTACTTTCCAATGGCTGCTAGCCCTATTGTCCGCAATATGTTGTTCACTTACTCTTAAGAAAAAGTGTTCCCCCATCAACGAATAGAGGAGCAATACCCTTTCAGCCACTGCAATGCACAGTATACGCATATTTGTTCTAACTCCAAGAGCCCTCTTCTAAGCCAGAATACTCATGGCAGGATTGATAATTGCTACTGGAGGCAATAGCTTGATTCTTTAATATTTGCTTCGCTGGATGTTAAGGGTTTGTTTTGTACTGGAATAATTTGCCTGCCTAAAGATATTTATGTCTCAAAAAACATCAAAATGGGGCTCGAGGCACTAGAAAAAAAAGTGAGTTGATAAATGAATACTCACTGTGCAGTTCTTAGTGCATACAAGATTTTTGAAAAGCAAGGAAGGCGCTGCATGTGTAGTACATAGTTGTGTATGCAGCACATACACTACCTCTTCTCCCTCCGCAGTGATACCTGTGACTGGCAATGCATGCATGCAGGTATTCTGCTAGACAGCCACATTTCAAGAGACTGCTTGCCTGCTTCAGGTTTTCACTCTTGAGGTGAAATAAGCATAAGTATATATTGATTTATGTGAATTATAGAAACACTCAATGGAGCCAGGAAATAATAAAAGAAAGAGCAGACCTTGCAAGAAAATCTATAAGCAAACAAGGGACCAACGAATGTCCACAAACTTTGGAGGTTTAGTAACATCAAAGGGGTGTGCTGGAGTGGAAGCAAATAAAGAGATTGGATTTAATAAGTGATCCAAGAAAAATTATCCAGTTTCAGTCTGGTGCTTTCATCTATACACTTGGTAGAATTACAGTTTGGGTAAATACTTTGGGTCTATCTAAAAATTCACCCTGAATTTTCAGCTGGGTGGAGTACTGAACTACTGCATACTATGGAAAACAGAGAAACAGTTTTCACTGTTCACCCTACAGGTGAAGTGATTCCTAAATGTAATTTGAGTGGGGCAACAGTATTACTTGGAAAGCTTTTCTGTTTCATCTTTAAGAATATGAGGCACAAAACACGGGTTGCTCTAAATATGGTCATTGTCTTTGTAATAATGCCACCAGCAGCAATGAAGATAAGTCTTAAGTGCAATGCTGCATGGTAAGTAAATAATGTTAGAGAACAGTCATCATTTGTCACAGCTGTATCACAGCTAGAACCAGAGTTCTGAATACAGTAAAGAATCTTGAGTTCTCTAGGATCCACTGGTATATATATATTGGACTTCCCTGGATAGCCTGCCTATATCTAAGAAGAATGGCAAGAAAAAAAGCAAAAGCATCTACATGCTCCATTTCACTCAGCCATAGACAAGTACTTCAACAGAGATGTGTCTACAATCCTTACTTTGGTTAATACTTGTATATCGGTAGGGGCCAGTAACCTATACTACATTTTCCTGTTCATATAAAGATATTGTAACACTTTTACCATCTAGGGAGTTGCCCTTTGTATGAAGAGTGGCATTCTTAAGCAGAGTGGCATTGTTTGGAATGGTTTAACATTAACATGTCTTTTCCAGAGAAACTTTGGTCTCTGACTGAC